CTTTTGAGAGGGGAGATCAGATTATACAGAATTAGGAGAATATTTTGGTACCTGTATGAAGCCCGCGGGGAGGGTGCGATCTTTCCTAACCGCCTTGGGTGAAAAAAGTGACATTTCAGGTAAAAGTAACACTTACATGTCCCCACATCATCGCAGCAGTCGCAGATTCCGGAGCTCCAGCCAACCGGGTTGGGCTGTGATAATGTGGTTGTATGGGAGATCACCGATGGTGGCTGTACTGAGATGGTCTGCATACCCTGCAAGGCACAACCAGAGACATTGTATGTGGAATGCCAACACACAGACCTAGAAGTTATGAATGAAGCTAGAAGAGGACCTGTCATTAACTCCCCCAGTGATCCGTCTGCTGCAGGCAGAAGGAAGCATTTCCTGAGTCTCCCCTCCCCCAGCGATCAGTCTGCTGCAGGCAGGAGGAAGCATTTCCTCAGTCCCACCTCCCCCGGTGATCAGTCTGCTGCAGGCAGGAGGAAGCATTTCCTCAGTCCCCCCTCCCCCAGTGATCAGACTGCAACATTGTATCTTTGTATCCAAGTGAGAAATGTAATGGATCAATGAGGAGTTGTCATGACAAAAGATTCTTAGAAATGACCTCCTGTGGATTCATTGTTCAGACCACCCAAGAAGTACGGGAAAGGACTCATAGACGTAGAAGGATATCTGGAATTTTGGGTTTGTCTCTCTAGTGGTTCAGAATTCACAGAAAGTAACCATAATGCTCCTCAATTAGGTGTTATGATCACTGAACAAGTTCAGGAATCCAGAAGAGGTGAGAACTTCCTGGACAGACGGGTCACAATGGGATGAGATTCTGAGACTGGACATCCTGGAGACACAAATGTGGAATGTGATCCTTCTATGACCACGGTCTGAGATATCTCTGGAGACATGAATGTAGAATGTGATCCTTCTATGAGCCCGGTCTGAGATATCTCTGAAGACATGAATGTAGAATGTGATCCTTCTATGACCCAGGTCTGAGATATCTCTGGAGACATCAATGTAGAATGTGATCCTTCTATGACCCAGGTCTGAGATATCTCTGGAGACATGAATGTAGAATGTGATCCTTCTATGACCCAGGTCTGAGATATCTCTGGAGACATGAATGTAGAATGTGATCCTTCTATGACCCAGGTCTGAGATATCTCTGGAGACATCAACGTAGGATGTGATCCTTCTATTAATTGGGTCTGAGATATCTCTGATTCCAGGATTATCTGCACAATTGTTATAATTCATGTATACCTACCTTCTATAAACGGCATAATATGAGTTGATTTCTGACGATGAAGAGCTTCTTTGCATTGTCCCTCCCATCATCTCGGATGGTTGAACCTCCATGCTCCGGACCTATTCCATCACTTTGGGGTTGGCAGCCTTATCCACAGGCTGCCTCACCTCACGGTTGGTGCCAGCCAGGATTTCTGTCATAGACACGCCATGATGTCACTTTTCGTTGTGTGGCATGTTAGCTGGGCCAGCCTGTAGGATTCTGCTGTGTATTGAGAGCTATAGGTCATGACTAGTGATGAACCTCAGGTTTGGCTCAACCATAAGTTTGCCCCAAACCCAAGCTGTTCTTAGTTTGCCAAACGGGTGAATGATTGAACCAGTCTGATTGCCAACCAACCTCCCTGTGTCCTAGCAACCAATGACGTGGTTATTTCCATTGGTTGCTGGGATGCAGGAAAGGGCACCATAACAACCATCGGTGTCTTAGCAACCAAAGATGTTAGCGGGCCCACAGCATCATTGGTTGTTGTGGTGTGCCCACCTGCGTCCTAGCAACCAAGGATGTTGTGCGGCCCAGCAGCTAGCATTTTGGCAACCAATGACACTGTGCCTGACCCATAGCTAAGACATGGGCGGCTCTGGATGTAGTCCACGTGGACATTCGCCAAGCTTGGATTTCTGGATAGGTTCAGCACACCGAGGCTGGTTCACCCATCACTAGTCATGGCAGACCACATGTGCTTCTTGAGGAACAGGTATCTCACACCCCAGAACATTGGATTATGTTCCTCCTCACTGAGGAACCACTTAGTCTTACTGCCTATTATATACAGTATACTGGAGGTATATGGCAGTATATGGCAGCATACAGACGGTATATGGCAGCATACAGACGGCATATGGCAGTATATGACAGTATACAGGCGGTATATGGCAGCATACAGGCGGTATATGGCAGCATACAGGCGGTATATGGCAGCATACAGGCGGTATATGGCAGCATACGGCAGGATACAGGCAGCATACAGACGGCATA